GTACAGTAAAGTTATACAGATTATTTCAGTTCATTGAAATGCTGTACCTTAATGTTTATTTTATTATATTTTGTATTTATTTGAGTGAATACATTATTCACAGTTTAATAATAATTAAAAAAAAATATATATATATTTTGTTTTGTGATAATTTTTTCTGCTGTACCGAAAACGCACCGAATCGAACCTTGACCTAAAAACCGAGGTACGTACCGAACCGAAATGTTTGTGAACCGTTACACCCCTAGTAGCCCTGCCACTAATTATTAGTTCTTCTTGTTTTAAGACAACATTACAGACAATGAATTATGTTTCGGATCATTCACAGCCACACTTCAGCGATGAAATGGTTTTACAGTTCCACATCCATCCTCTTTTAGTGGCTGGCAGGTTGACATATGAAAATGGCTCAAAATCTCATATGAACACTTTTTGAATGACTTATTAGTGTCTTTTCCCTCTGAGTAACTACGAAAAGTCACTAAGCACATCGGCCAGTTGTACCCTATACTAGAGCTCATGTTGTCGGTTTACGATAACTGACTGCCAGAGGGTAGACAAAGGTCCACAGTGTTACAATGTATAAAAACAAGTTCATCCAGGAGTGTTGATTGGGTTTCGGTTTCAGTGTTGACAAAACGTTGTGTGTGATCCCTCCAGGTTCAGAGTTTCGTCTCCGAGAACTCTGCAAGGAGCTGCTCGGTCCCGTCCACAAATCAGCAGCGACAGCCTGGGAGCCCACCACTCTGGTACAACTCAACATTTTTCAAAACGTTTACCTTCCACACATACAAATGTATTGTCCTTTTTGTTCCTGCTCCCAAAGCTGCTTTGTGTCCCATCTCTCAGTTGTATTGTTGCTAGATGTTGTCCAAGGATTAGGCTGTACTCATTCAGCATTAAGCTTTAAATATATTACATATACATTAAGACATAAAGGGATGCCCCAATACATTTTTCTTTCTAACCTGGACGTTAGGAATCATAGTCACTCAACCAAAAGATCTCACAAAAAGTAGTGCGCATTTTCCTGTCCGGATTTAAAGCAGAGCTGCATCAACAGTTAGTTAATTAGCATTTATTAATTACAATGTTAACTGTTTTGTCTATAGAACATGAAAAAAACCAGGTTGTGTAATTGCGACGGAATAGTTTTTTTGCTCATTTGATTAATCCGTTATGACCTGTGCAAACAAAGCTAATAGCTAATGAGTTAGCTTGTGTTGGCTCTGGCACCACATTAAACCGTGCATGCTAGTTGCTAACGATCTGTTTTCTGTGTTAAGGGTCTACGTAAGCGCGAGTTGTTGCGGGAAGTCTTACCTGTCATCGTTGAAAACCTGCGATTCCAGAGACTGTTCACCGAATACCAGGACCAGCTGGAGCTACTGCGCAACAAATAACACACACTGCTGCCCACACACACTGACAACACACATGCCTGGACTCTCATGAAACCAGTTTGGTTCTTCCAGTTCAACTCGGGTGAACTCTGACTGCTTATCGTCAACTGAAGAAGCTTGAAACGCTGTTTGGGCTGAAAGCTGCAAAACAGAAAAACTTCATTCACGGCAAGTCCACAACTTTCAAAGTTTGGGGACTTTCAGTGCTGTCGCTCACTGGGAAGAAGTGGCGGGTGATTTGGATTTTTTTCTTATCACAATCTTAGTTCCAACTCACGTGTTCGGTCGTTTTCTGTTTTTTTTAACCTATGCACCTCTCTCCTGCGCTCCTTACCATGGACTAAAAAATATTTAATTAAGAGAGGTTGTGTTACAAATGTTGCTGGTTGGATCCCTGCAGCTCGATAAATCTTTCTCAAGTCTGTTTCGCTCCTCCGACAGAGTGAGCAGAGGTGAGACACTGAAAAAGAAAATAGAATAAATCAAAATGGATGTAAAGGAGAAATATGCTTGTACCAAAGTGATGCCTTCAAGTGTAAAAATAACCACACAACTCCATCTGCAAAGTGAAGGAAATGAAGGGCATCCTTAAAAAAAGGTTCAAATGGGTTTTTAAAGGCTGATGGGTGAAGTTTTCTGAGTGTTCTGGCTGAAAAAATGCCAATGCCAACATTTGAAGTCACAGGTCACCGCGAAGAAGATAATCAAACTTATGACACCACTGGAAATGTAAAGGTATATTCAGAGATACAGGATGGACCTCGATTTTTAAGGGATGCCTTTTTTGCAGCTAATCCTAACCCATGAGAGCATTCACTCCAGTCAAAGAGCACTTCAAGCATGTGCACAAAGAGGAAGCACTGCAGAATTTACGGTGACCGACGACCGCCCAAAACGATGCAATAAAAAAAACACAAATGTGCCAAAACATGCGCAAATTAAAAAACATCTTCACCAAGTTGACGAAACTTGCGCAGCCTTTACTAAAAGCACTGCATAAATGAAACGCTGCAAATAAAAAACAATGTAAGAAGCTCAAAACACAACAGAAACGGGGACAGTAAAAAGTGATGCACACAGCTGGGACCAGAGCATGTGTTGACTTTTGAGGATTATAAAGTTGGCCAACTGTGACTGGAAACTTACCTCAAATGTGCAAATGTGTATTAGCTTATTTAAAAAATGCGATCACAGGAATCCTTCTGATATTATTGCAGATCTGCTGTCAGCTAGCTAGCTAACCTAGTTATTTCATTTATACTGACAAAACACTTACAATCGTGAAACAGGCTAACTCGGCCAACAGTGACAGTTGGCCAACTTTATAATCCCTGAACATCAACAAGTGCTCAGGTCCCAGCTCTGCGTCACCTTTGAGTGTGCCTGTTTTCGTTGTGTTTTGAGCTTCTTCCCGAATTTAGTTTGAGCTGCTTTTTGAGTAAATACTGCTCATGTCTTTCTTCATTTACATGTGTTTTGGCTCATTTACCTTTTTATTTGCATAGTTTTTGAACCCCTTTCTCCTAATGGAAGTGTTTTGGGCTGTTGTAGTGTGATTGCAGAGGTCAACCGCCGTAGAATTTAGACTAAAGAAACAAAACACAAGTAAGGAAATATTAACCCAGTTTGAACAAAAGTAAGAAAGCACGATGGCAGTGCAGGAATCCATCTTTAGATGTCACATTTTGATCTGCGACAAAGGTAGACAGAAGTACAATCTTTGGATGCAAGTTACCATTATTTGAAATAACTAAATGTTTCACACATTGTTATCTTTGCTTTTTACCTCAACTTTATAAGCGCCTAATCAAGATTATACATTTTGATTATTTGTCAAAGAAAAAGCATTTAACATGAGTGTGCATGAAAAGTCCGATTTTTATTGTGTTGGATGAATGAATGTAGATCTGCAGGCTTAACCATTACTTAACCTCCATCATGAAGTCTCAGAATAAATCATATTTACTGTAGGCTTAGAAAAAGAAATTAGCTGAATTGCTCAGCAAGACGGGAATGATCTTGTTAAGTACACACAGGTTTAACAAAAGCTCGACAATGAATCTAGTAAAGTAAACTCGTGCCACCGTTACATCCGTACATAATTATTGTAAATATCAGCAGCTGCCTGAGGACATTTGCTGATGAAAAACTCATTTTTGCAGATCTTCAAGGCATATCATGTGTATGAAACAGATCTTTGGGGTAATAAAAAAGCTCTCGTGTGTCAGATTCACGAAATCTGATTTAAAAAAAAAAAAAAAAAGAAAAAAAAAAAGGCTAATATGATCCACTTTTTGAACGGCTGTGATCAGACATGGTGAACGGATAATGTTATATTTATATATTTTGGTCTGTTTCAATTCCTATATCTTGTAAATACACCAAGTCTAATTGCTGAACCATTGGTTTACATTTTCTCTCTGTTGCCGGGCAAGAAACACCCCAAAAATGTTTTTCAGGACAGAGGGATTTTCTTTTGTCTCACATGCATTAACTTGACATTTTTACAGGTTTCAAAAGCACAGCGGTCATGAAACCTCATTGGACTTCTCTTGGATAAAAAGTACTTGTTTAGCCTTTAGAAGTGCACTCCTCTGCCAATTCAGTGTCTACATAACAGTAGAGAGTGAGCTTATGCTTGCTGTATCTGACAGTGTGGAGACACGCAGACCAGAGGAAGAATTCATCTCTATCAATCTGTACAGCATTTATTTTTCCTTTTTTTCCCCGCTGTAAGTCATTTTTAAATGTTTGTACAAGCTATTTTTTTTTTCATTTTCTATAAGAAAAAAAGAAAAAGATTGAGAAGAGCTGAATTGTTGCTTTTGAGGAAAGAATGTGAAAAATAAATGAGGAACAGTTGGGGTTTGGTAATTTCCTGAGTGGT